TACCACAGGCTTCAACATGAGCCTGTCGCACCAGACACAAGAAGAAGAAGAAGAAGAAGAGGAGGAGTCCGCGCTGGCAGATATGCTCACACAAGAACTGTCGTAACAGCTACTCCTCGTAGCTTTGGAGTGTTGGATGTATTTACATGCATTAATTAACCGTGTGTGTGTGTGTGTGTGTGTACTTGCATTTAAATATTTTTATGAAACATTTTGAGCATAGACCTTATGGACAGTGAGGACATTTTTCGATTTTATGTTTAGGGTTAGAATTAGGTTTAGGTTAGGCATTTAGTTTTGATGGTTAAGGTTAAGGTGGGGCTGGCAAAGGCATTATGCCTATGCATGTCCTCACTAAGACCGCAGTACAAGAATGTGTGTGTGTGTGTGTCTCTCAGGCATTCAGATCTGGCTACTGGATGGCTCTTAATGTCTCCTGCTCCTATTTCATAAGAGAGAGTGGAAAACTCAGAGTCAGCACACTGGCATGAGAAGAGCCTCTGCTGGACGCAGATCAGGACACACATCTGCAAACCCTGCCACGGTCTGTGAGTGTGTGGGAGGCGAGACAGGGAAAGAGCTGGCGTTTGTGTGTACGCTCGTGCACGGATATGTGTGCGTAAAATCAATTGTGTGCATTGGAGTGATAAGAAGAAAGGTAAAGAGAACAAGCAACAGAGTCCAGCAGAGATGTAGAAAGTGTGTGCAATGCAGAGCAAACATTTGATCCTAGTGGAGAATACCTGCTGAGGTGTTGAATGCTACACTCTCATTGCTTTAACTTGAAAAGTTGAAAAGTGTTTAAAAGACAATATCAAAGTTTGTGTTGCTTCTTGTTTTAAGTATATGTGTGCAGATCTGCAAGCTGCTCTAAATCCTGCACTTTCTCCCTCGTTGTCGGACACACACGTATGTCCTGAGAGTCGTGCACATCACAAAAGACCAAAGTGCAAATGGAGGTGAAAAATCGAATGGTCTCCAGAATGTTGTCAAAGGGTGTAGAATGTAACAGCTGTACTTAATGTTGTACGTGGGCGTGTGGCAGACACTGAGACAGAAACCAATGGAACTAACGTCTCTTAAAACTTCTCACCTCATCTATTAAAAAAAATCTCCTCTTTCCATTACCTGGTGGATGCTAATGGCTGTCATTACCCATGTCCTTCATCGTGCTGTGCCTCTACTTCCGTGCTTACTGAGCATTACAACGTTGAGTCCCATTAAACGTTATTCAGCTACATTCAGGTGAATATTTTCAAACCACGCTGTCTGATTGAAAAAAGATATGCACCATAACACAAGTATCAAAGGGAACAGATTTCTGAGGATTATTAAATTGGCCTCTAACTAACAGCATCCAGTGGACGTAATAAACAGGCAGTATTTCATACAGCTGTGTGTGATGTGATTCAGACATAAAGAAAGAGCCATTACAGAGGAAAACTGCGAGCAAAGCATTCCTGTCAAGTTCATAAACACATTACAACTAAACATGAGACTCAACAGTGCAATAAAACTGTCTATGAGGAAATTAATTAGCCAGTCCCACTACAGAGAAAAACAAACCTTTAATTAAATGATTATTTAACATAAATCCTGAATGGATCCAGAAAATGTGACGCATGAGGCTGAAAATCCTTTTTTTTTTTCACCAAAAAACAGAAAACCTTGGAGAGGCAAAGCATTGAACAAGGTCGTGCGTATATAGGTTTTCACATTGTGTCTAATCATAGTGTGGTTTGTTTCCTAATTGAAACAGCAGAGCAGGGAAAGTGTTTTCCTGTAGACAAGAGAAAACAATGTGAGAGGAGAAGCTGAAACTAAAAAGATTTGAAATTCACTAGAAGCTGAAGCATTTCAGTGGGATACAAACCCTGATATTCTGCTCTTAAAGCCAATACTGGATGATAAGTATTCCCGATCCATGTATCAATACAGTGCAAGACACTGGATTCATTAGATATATATTACATCCCTACCATGTCCTCCAAAATAGTCTAGTCTAGGCTGGCCTTGATGAAGCTATGGCAAGTGTTCCATTTTATTTTTAAATTAATTCTGACTATTAGCTGGCTCCAAAAACTGCTGTTTCTGTTTCATATCAGTGAAAAGTGAATTTCTTCAGATTGTTTGGGCTGTTCACGAAACCAAATTAAAACTGTCACCATGAGCTTATCGTCTTTTCACTGACACTTCTCATTGTTTGTGATTTAACAGGCTGAAATGTTCATCACCTGTAAAGTCACTAATCATAGTTGTACTTAATATATAAATATCTGTTATGGGCCAAATTAAGCTCCATCGATTGTATCAACAATTACTCTACTAAATATTTAGAAATATTCTGGATCATTTTAAGCAGCACTTTTTCACCATCTTCTTCATAAATCACAATATACAGCTACAAACACTGGAGACAACTCACCAGTCCACCATGTCTGTCACCTCATACAATCCCCACAGTGTCCCACTGTGCAGAAGAACCGTACACAACCTCAAGTTTCTGTGGTTTTAATGCGGGCTCTTATCAACAATGCCAATTAAGTTAAGCTCAAGATACAGGCAGGCTACAGTGAAAATGTTCTACAATCAGCAGCCAGATGCGTAAAAGACAATCTAAAGCAGTCCGAAGCAAAGTTTTACGCGTCGTGCGTATAGCTGCGTAAAACCGGAGTTTTGGAAAACATGAAGACAAAAGGTGCAGCGAACGCGTTAAAAGCATAAAACCACTCACTTGTTGTGATGTCTCGAGCGGATCGACTTTTCAGAAGTTGGTCATCTGATGTCCAGCGTGAGCACCGACAGGCTCGGAAAAGTCCTGCTCCCTCACCTCGAGCCTGCTGCTCGGCCCCGAAACAAGATCTGATCCGAGCAGGATTTGTTCACATCGCCCACCCACACCTCGACTCGAGTGAGCGCCGCTTCCCCACGGACGGTTTTCTTTCTTTTCTGCCACTCACTTCATCATCAAGCCCGTGCTGTACTTTCAGGGCTGCTCACACACACACACAC